AAACTTATGTCATGAGCTCTCTTTGCACAGATCAACTAGGAGTATGGGTGCCATTACTGACTCAACTTTGTTAATTCAGAGCTCTCTCTCTGGCCCAGGGCTAGATTAAGTTTTTATAGGCTCTCAGCACCAAGAAGTTTGCAACCCCAAATAGACCATCTTCATATGTATGTTAAATACATAATTTAAAAATAAATAAAAATCAACTCCAAAATAAACGTAAAGAATTACAACATGGCATTTTCCTCTCTTTGATAACTATTCTGAGTTTTAAAAAAATAATTATTTTTTCGAAGAAAATATCTGCCCCTACCATGCCTACATTTCCACATTTTATTGTTTTTGTCCCTGCTTTGTACCAGGTTCTTCTGCTCCCTGGGCTTTCTAACACTGCTGGGCTAATGAGATACGGCCGGAGGGTGGGGTGCATTTGCACTGGCAGGGTGGCTGGTGGAGTGGTCGTGTGGATGAAGGAGGGCTGGCCCTGGGAAAGGAGCATGGCGGATCATCCCAGGCATTCATGAGCTGAATGGATTACAGCGTGTGCTTTCAATGTGCTTTTCCCTTTTTGAATTGATATTTCTGAAAGCCAAAATGCCTATTTAGTCTGCCTTTTATAAATGACCATGACTTGCTCTTTACAACTGAACACAGGCAACATTTCTCCCAGGCCTTCTAGTTGCTATAGAGCTTGGAGTTGTGTGTGTGTGTGTGTGTGTGTGTGTGTGTGTGTGTGTGTGTGTTCTTATTTTTTTCTCCTAAACACTTACAGCAATAAAACTCCCTCTATAAAAGCACACTGATTTAACTTATTAGTTCTCTCAGGGGATGAGAAAGGAGAATACCTCTCAGGAACCACACTGTAAGAAAAACAAATGAGCCCCTGAACTGGCCATTATCTGCCCACTATTCATCATGTGCAACTGGGAGGGGCCGACCAAAAGGTTTAATTGTAACTAACAAGTATGATTTATTTGAAGAAAAGGAATTTAGACAATGATGCACCAAGATTAGTTAACTGCCTTGAAAAGGAAATGAGATCAGATAGGGTTGTCATATTTGGTGAAAGAATTGAACTTTTAAGTGAAAAATTGGTACTTAGGATACATGCCATATATATGATGTTAATTTTTGCTTGTTATTTAGACAAGCTTAACTCACACAGCATAAATAAATAAATAAATGTATTAATTAAATCACACACCCACTTATTAAAGTCATCGAGTGCCTATAATATGCCTGTACTACTACAGATACTGGGGATACTGTAAGTAAAGCTAANCTCATATGTGGGATCCGAACCGGGGCCTTCTGGCATCCCAAGCCAGCTCTTAACCACTGTGCCACACGGCAGGCCTCCAGTTTGACATATTCTTTTAAATTGGTAATCACCAATTTAATTCCCCCCACCCCCATTATTTCTAACAGAGGTTAAACCTTGATGGAATTTTCTTGGTTTGCTTTCTTTCTTGTGCACCGTTATCATGAACGAAATTAGAGTGTGTTTTTATACCTCAGACTATAGCCAGTAGACCGGGGTCAAAACAAAGGTTTTTAAAGTATTGACATTAAAAAGGTAGCCATTAGGGAAAATTAAAAATAAATGAATATAATCAGTGATATTTAGAATCTAAATAAAACTGGTTACTTTATTGGAAAAAAAAAACTTATTAGGTCAAATTAGGGTCTATATTTAATGCTTGGCAGAATCCCTTTAGGTTAAGCCTCTTTTAGTTAATTTAATTAAGCCACTGAGTTGAAATGCAAAATGACTAACTTATATTAAGCCACATAAACAACTCTCAAAAGAAACATTGCGATGAGAAAATATAAATTATGAAAATACCTTGTAATATGAAACATTCTGTAAGGCCATTCCTGTGTAAGAGACAAAGGCGTCATCTGAAGCAATGATAGCAGAAACATTTCTGAAGTGGGAACATTTATTTCTGGTGGAAATGTCAAAAGAAATCAGAATCAGCCTGTTGTAGTAGAATTTTGAGATTGTCTACATTAAACGTGAATTAGATTTGCATATTTATGCTTATGTGATCAAAATGGAACTGCACACCTGGGCTTAAGCTCGTGGTTTTTCCAACCTGCTTTACTTTACCCCTCTCTAGCTTCATCTCGGGTGTCTCCTCTTCTATTTAAGCTTTGCATAGTGTCTCTAGTTATCTGAAGACTCTATTTATAAAAAATTCTCTCTGTTTAACAACAGCAGTGTTAGAGCCCAAGCATGAGAATGTTGGACACACTGCCTCCTCTGAGAACCCTCAGGCTACTTGACACACCTTCACCTCTCTGAGAGGCTCCTTGAGTTTATTGTGTTTAGACCCTACAGTTGCTTAGGTAAGAGATTAGAGCCTGACTCAATGGAAGTCATCTCCTGTAAATTAGGGGCCCATGAGGTAACCTAAAATGAGGTATCTTCCTAATAGAGATCCCCAGTAATGCATGGTGACTGGGTAACAATAGTGACTAACATCTATTTAGTTACTTAATGTTCATCAGGCATTGTTTGTTCAATGTAATGTAGCAAGTTGTCCAGGGGACAACCAGAAGATTTGTCAGCTCAACTGTGTTGCTGACAGCTTGATAAACATTTCCAAACTTATTTGTAAACAGCTTCAGACAAGAGTCCCTTAAGGGTCCCCCTGAACCCTCCAAACGTCTCTAGCTGTCCTACTGTTCCGTTGAGGCCATTGGACCTCTCCACAATCCATCAACTAAAGAGTCAACACCTGACCCTATAGGGGCTCTCTAGAATTCTGCCCTCGCTTCCCAGCACCCCAACAATGATTGGGAGGCATTCTGA